AATCCTGTTACGCTTTTGCTCACAATTGTGCGCGACTTACTGCTGCAGAAATTCTTCGAGAAGGTGTCATTCGCCCCAGTGCTACACAATACCCGGATTGGCTTTATACTTCTGGCTTTTATTGTCGCGCCGAAATATGTCGTGATCACTCTTCGGCGGCATACCTTGCAGCACAAATTGAGGCATTTCGAAAAGCTAGAAAGCTAGTAAGTATAGTCATTATAAGGATCCTTTCAGACCGTTTTGTATATACGGAAAGGCGCGAAGTCGTCAGTCCCATCATCTTACCATCAGTGTCGGTGTAACGGTCTCGGACCATGGCGGATTGCAATTCTTTGACTGTATTCATAGTCATAGAGATAAGAGGTGGTCCTTTCGTTCTCACCTCTGTCAGATTTTTGGAATTGCTGCCTTTCTGTAAACTCCATGTGCATGATTTCTCTTTGCTTATCAGTTTCACTTTCTCATGCATGGGTCTCACCATAATTTGCAGATGAAATCTTGGATTCAAAAACTGTCGCTGTAGTCTTGTCGTGCATTTTCATGCTTTGATCTAGCTAACTTTCCATAGCAATTTTTCCTCTTTGCTGCGTCGTTGAAGTTTGTCATCTGGACACTCTGAATTTATAGAAATTCAATTCATGTGTATTGAACCCGCTACGTTTTGCTTTCGTTGCCATGGTCTTCCTTTTGCTCATTTTGTCCATCAGGTTTGTGCACTGTTTTCATTGTAAATAAATGTTGTGCATATGCGATTACACTGGACTGGAGATGAAATTTGAATGTTCGAAATTATTGCGATCATCTCAAGCTGATCATGACTACATATTCTTGTTATGCATGTTGAGTCGAAACTTGTCGGAACCTTTCTGGTCAAGAGCTCAGCAACATCTGCAGTTCCGGAACTCAGATTTTCCACTTGCCCATTACTTGTGCGATTACTCATTCTTGATGATGAGATGGAATCACAAATGATGGAATCACAATGAGGTCTTGGTTGAAAGGCTTTATCGTACATCATCAGGTAAGTTTTGCTCATTCGTTATGCATTCATCGTCCTTGTCAATGGCATTAGTTGCTGATTCGGACATTTTTGGTTGACAAGGTATTTACTCCCTGTAAAGCTACTCTAGTACAGACTGTACAACAGATTCGCAATTCAGTACCTGAGTGGATTTTTCGACATTACGCGTGGGGCTTGGATTTCAGTGCGAAACTCAGCACGGGTTGTTCAAAAAGGCTAGACCCATTATCAACTATAGCACATCGTGGCCGCGGAAGTTGGGCCAAGCCATTGGTATTGCATTATTGGAAATACTCAACATTGTTTTTTCTGACCTTTTGAAATTTCAGGATGTACACGCCGTACTTGAACAAATTCGTTTGATGTTTCAAGTCATTGCTACTGATGAACGGACATTTGAAATCCATCAATCTGACATCGTTGGCTTCTACAATCAAGTGGAACATGATCGAATTCTTCAAGCTGTTGATTTCGCAATTCATCGTTTCTTTGCTCTGCAGTGAGTATCTTTGGAATCATCTATACAGACACACAATCATAAGTTGGAACGCACACTACGCATTTTTCAGGGTCATTGGCGGTCTCAGAGCAAGCAGTTTCGAGAATTTAAACTGGCTCATATTCGGGATTTGGTAAAATTCTTACTTCAGAACTCGTTCTTCCACGTCGGGACCCAAGTTTTTCGTCAACATCGTGGTGCGTTTATGGGCTCACAATGGGCCCCTATTTTATGTTCGGCTGTTGCATTAATAAAAGAGTACAAGTTTTTCCAGGTTTATCCCATGTTGACAATAGAGCTCATCAGGAGATTTTCAGATTCACCAGGCGATAATAGGTTTTTCTGCGGTTTGCCCCATTTCGGGGCCTCGGTCCTACTGTAGACGACTGTTACTGAATGGATGTCAGTGGATTGCATGTCTCCTTCAATTTTTCGAACAACCTACCTTGGAATCTCCAACAACTTTTGATGTGGATTTTGAGTCAATGGACAGCTACTTCATTGCTTTTATTGGCATATAATCAAACTCAGCGTCGGATCCTCAGCATTTTTCGCTTCCTGCACCTGCCTCAGTACTGGACGTTTGAGTGGTGGTCACAAACAAACGTGGTGTATATGCGATTACATTGGATTGGAGAATTCTATATTGGGAGCACGGAAACTACGGTTTTTCTGCGAGAGCAATCTCGCACACGCAAATACAAACAACATGTGTCGCAACAGTTGGCTTTCTTTGAACCTGCCATCAAACTATGGTGTAAACGAGACAATTTCTACCAATCTTGCATTTTTCCTCTTCGTTCTCAATGTGGGGACGCTGAACATCGCGTGAGCCTGGAACAAGCTTTACAACAAACATTGCGGCCTATTTACAATTGGCCTTGGATCAACCCTCTATTGAAACGTTGGCGAGTTGGAAAGACACGTTTTGGTTTCACATCGGTTTAACCAACAGTGGCATTTGGACGTAGATTGGTACGTCGATACAAGAAACGCACACGAGCCCAATATTGTTCTCTATTTGAGCAACAATTTGACAATCATTTGCGTATTTTTCGACTTCTTTACATGTTGGGATCTGATACACTGATGAAATTTGAATGTTCGAAATTATTGAGATCATCTCAAGCTGATCATGACTACATATTTTTACTATGCAGATTGAGTCGAAATTTGACGGAACCTTTTCGGTCAAGAGCTCAGCAGCAACTCAAGCTCATTTTGCAGTTCCGGAACTCAGAATTTCCACCTGCTAATGTACCTGTACAATTACTTATTCTTGACGATGAAATGGAATCACAAATGAGGTCTTGGCTGAAAGGCTTTATCGTACATCACCAAGTCAATTTTCCTCCTTTCCACAAACCCAAGGTACCTTTTTCAATCAAGAGTCGTACTCTGGGGTCATATCTTTTCAATTTTCGACTGCACTTGCGTTGGTGGCACCCAACTGACAGACCTACTTGCAGATGCCATTTGTTACCAAAGACGAGCATTTCTGAAACACCTCATGTTTCTATTTTCGCTGCTGATATCTCTGGTATCTGTTCTGTGTACACTGCTCATATGGAGGACCAGATCAGTCCATCTTGGAACAAGTTTGTGGTCTTGCCCCATTTCGGGGCTAATGTGTGTGTGTGTACACCGTTATAACAAACGGTTTTAGTTCTTTACATTGCTCTTGTACTATTCTAAAAAGCAGGGGGCAGAGGTACCCATGTCACTTCCTCTGCCAACGAAGCTGGGTGACATGTGGTAAGGATATAGATCAGGGACGCCTGATCTACGTACCTGCTATAGTTTCAACTGTTGACTTTCTGTTCTTGTTTATGAGCTGTGCGTTGTTTCTTCGATCGCGAATCTGTGTCCGCTGAAATTCTACTGCCAGGCAACTCAGGAAATCAGGCGAAGACTATGACATCATTCACACCTTTTACTTACCATTACCCCACAGTGTGTGTAAAAGCATCTGCGTGTAAAAGCGTCTGTGTGTAAAAGCGTCTGTGTGTAAAAGGGTCTGTGTGTAAAAGGGTCTGTGTGTAAACACGTTTGTGTGTAAAAGTGTCTGTGTGTAAAAGCTTCTGTGTGTAAAAGCATCTGCGTGAAAAAGCGCCTGTGTGTAAAAGCGTCTGCGTGTAAAAGTGTCTGTGTGTAAAAGCGTCTGTGTGTAAAAGTCTCTGTGTGTAAACGCGTCTGTGAAAGTGTTTGTGTGTAAAAGCATCTGCGTGTAAAAGCGCCTGTGTGTAAAAGCGTCTGCGTGTAAAAGTGTCTGTGTGTAAAAGCGTCTGTGTGTAAAAGTCTCTGTGTGTAAACGCGTCTGTGAAAGTGTTTCTGTGTAAAAGCGTCTGTGTGTAATTTCACAACTTTCCCCTCCATAGCTCATATAAAATTCACCATTCATTCACCGACTATTTTTTACGACTACCATACTCAGAGCTGCTTGAAGGACGTGTTTTTCGCTCTCGGGCCAACCGTCGTCTAGTAATGTAAATGCAAAAATATCAAACCGGGGCAAGCCACCAGGCCCATGACCTATAGCGCTACTGGGGGGCAGCGTCATGCAAACAAATTAATGAGTAGGAGGGGCAAGCCACCATCCCGCTCTCAATCCTGAATTATACGCACCAAATTAATGAAGAAATTATGTGGTGACTTGACAGAAAACTTACGAAATTGCAGTGTTATGAATTGATTACTGTTATAAATGCTCGAATCAGCGACCACATAAACCATGCTTAGCAAATTCAACTTTGTTTGTTCTGGTCAAGAACTTGCAGCATAGACCAGTTGTGGGCTGGCCGGTATCACCAAGGACTGACAGAATTTGTTTGCTTTCTTTCTGGGTGACAAAAGCGACAAGCTCGGCAGACGGTCTGTGGCGAAGTTGCGCTTTCTGCAAGCATTGAAGAAACAAAGGCATGTCTTTCAAGAGTTTCCACATATTGCACAACTGCTGCATGCGGCCAGTGATAGCTGCACACAAGTGAGGGTTTTCTTCTTGAAAACCGCTGCTGATGTAAACAGTCCTGCGGATGCTGACCGCACAGCAATACTTCACAGCTGGTCCCTCGCCATGACTAAACGCTTGAGGGCTGAGGAGCAAACCTCCGGAAAGGAATGCGGGCCACAAAGTTTCTTCAGCAGGATCTGTGACATCTGGAACAACAAACGCGCCCGCACGCAGAAGGGAAGATTCGTATTTTGCACCCAACTTGTCCATGCGCTGGTCCAGCACAAGGCTTGGAGCGGCTTGGATTGTTGAAATAAAAACTTTCTTGCCACTGCACAAAGAAAAAATTGATGCCGCAGCTTTCTCTTTTTTCTTTGTGTCTCGGATTTTTTGGCCAAGTAGCCTCTCACTTTCTGACTTCTCGCAGCTTTGAAGTCCTCCACGGCTTGCTCATGGTCTGGACCTATTCATTGAGTTTTTCTTCCGTTGTAAGCCCATTGTGAGCAGCTGCTTCCAAAGCACGTTCTTTACGTCTTTTTTTTAAACTGCGTTTCTTTCTCATGTTCTTGTGTCCAATGCTCGTTTTCGTGGACCAAAAATCCTGGTGTCGGGTCATCTCCGCATTTTTTCACTTCCTGCGCCACTGCAGCAGCACGTTGCCTCCGAAAAGCCTTAGTAAGCAAAATCTTTGTTCAAAATGATCTAAATTTTGAGTGTTGAGCAGAAACTAGTTTTGAGACAAGGCGCTTGCCATGTGCCTTCTCTGGCCCTTTTCTTCCACCCACGCTGCGCTGCCACAGATCTTAAGACTGAGTCTTTGGAACTTGCGGCTTTCACTGTCCCAAAAAGTTGAGACCAAATCACCGCAGCAGCCTTTGCCAACTCCTGGTCTTGAGTTTCGGTCCAATTTTGTGTGGTCAAGAGGAAAATTTCATCCCTCAGGTTCACTTCGGTCATGTTTCCTTTGCTTTTTGTCAATGTTCGGACACCTGCAAAGTTTTGCTCCACACCCGAACTGGAGCAGCCCCAGCCAATAGCTCTACTCAGAGCCTGCCTGAGTTCCTCTTGGGGGTGGTGCTGGAGATTTCGCTTGTCCTCCAGAACTGTATCCAAAGCTGCTTTCCAGGCCATCACTGGTTCCATGTCTGCAGCGGATTCAAACTTGTGCTGAGCTACAGGGTGGTAGTCTGCAAAGTGGCTTGACAACGCGCACTCATCCAAGGACAAAACGTTTGACACTTTGTGGATCTTATCGCTAACATCTCGTGCTTCAGTCCTGTGGTCGTCTCTTCTGTGCACTTTGTCATTCAACGATTCCAAATGGAAAATGGACATAGACTGCAAAATCTCAAACGCTGGAAACTCCGTTGTGACCACTCTCAGAATCCAAGCGCCTGGTCAACTGCAGATTTTCCTCTCCAGCATCAGCAAGCATCCCAATGAGCAAAACTGTTTCCTCAGACAGAAGGTCTAGGCCAACCTTTTCATTTTTCCTCTCTTCATGGGCAGACTGGGCTGTTCGGATCACAGCATCTAACGTGAGGCAAACTTTAGCAAAGGGCATGCTCCACGAATCGAATCGGTGCTTCGCTGCAGAAAATTTGTCCGAAATCTCATTCCACAAGGGGGTGAACTGCATGGCTCGAACGTTCTGGGCATACATGGACCGCAACACATCGGAGAAATGAATCTGTTGCACAATGCCATCGGTGTCCATGAACACTTTCTTCACAATTTGGTCGAGGACACGGTCGCATTTCCATGTCCGGCTGACAATCCTACGGGCGGCATGGGGCTTGTCTTTGTTGATGACCTTCAAGTTTGGGAACACTTCTGAGAATGTAGCCATGTTCACATCCATAGCTTCAAGCAAGGCAGGACAAGTTCCGGGGCAAGCCTCCAGGAATCTATTATTACCAGATTCAAGGATCTGGCCAGCCAATTGCTCATCTGCAGCTGCGTCTGCGTTGAAGACCTCTGTGATCTCAAAGAGATGGGCCAACAAAGCTTTGTCCATGGAGGTGACATCTTCATTCAGCGCCTGGCTCGTTTCAAAGGATTCGCTGTGCTTGAATGGTGAGCACAAATCCGCCAACATCAGCAAGACACATTTGGCAATGCCGTGGGAGTCAAAATCTTCAAGCTTTTGGCACCCCACCAAAGCATGAACTGGCCGTAGCTGTGGGCCACAACCTTGCACACGCGAAAGTAGTCTCCCTTTGGAAGCATCCGAGTGCAAAGTCAAACAATTGCAACTCCAAGTCCCTGCGAGTTTGAAACCTTAAAGCTTCAGCCAAGCAATACTTAGCTTTGAGCAACTTGTCACGTTTCAAAGTTCCGGTGCCTTCAGCCCCTCCTGCTTTACCCTGGCGGACTAAACGCAGAGCTTCCACGAAAGCAGCAACTGGAGGGGCAACAAGGGCCAAGCGAACGTCAGGATCAGAAACTGCTATCCTGTGGCTCTTAGCTCGCTCATGTTTATCGAAGTGCGCCTTCTGCAACGAGGAAACTGTTCGAAACTCAGCGTGGAACTTGCCATGAAGCTTGCATGCCTTACAGTACACACTGTTCACTTCTCCAGCTGGGTTCCTTGTGCAGTGTAGCCAAGGGTACTGTGCCATCCATCTGGGCCCAAGTCTTTTCCATTTCTTGCCAAAGTCTGTCACAGGCGCGATCTGCTCTGGCACGAAGTCCTGGCAAATTCAAGAAAAAACAGCATTTGAGACCCATGTTGGCACTGTCCAGAGCTAAGGCCGTGATTTGCAAAAACTCCACTTCTCGAACGGAGTTCCTGTCGAGAGCACCTCTGGATCCGGGAAGTCTTCTGAACAGTTGGGGGCGCCCCGGACTGTCCAGAGGAAACTTTTCCATCATTTTCTTGACTTTTTGAAATTTTCAAAAGTCAAGAAAAAAATGAGTGAAAAGTTTCCTCTGGACAGTCCGGGGCGCCCCCAACTGTCCACAAGACCTCCTGGATCCAGAAGTGCTCTGGACACAGCAGGTCTGCGATTTGTTATTTGGAGTTTTTTTTTCGCACCCTGTCCAGAGGGGCTGGTCCCTGGAATTGGCAAAATATTTGTTGAAAAAACAATTGATCATGAGCCTCCTCTGTACATTCGATGGGGCGCCCGGCTGTCGAGAGAATCTATTTCTGTCTAACTTTGAGTTTTCCAATTATAACCTGCAAAATCTATCTCGCTATTTAACATTCGGTCCTGCAAGCATTGTTCAACATCCATGTGCTCTGGCAGTAAATCCTCCATGAGTTGGGCCTTGTGTCCCTGCAGGCGGTGCAAGCCACCGGCCACAAGTCCAAACAACTGATGTCTACTTGTTTGAAGCAACCAAGCAGCGGCATGGGCACGCATGCACTGTCATAGGACCCCCCAAAGAGAAATTCTCCGACTACCTACTGTCAGTTCTAAGACCTTGCTTGAGAGTGTGCTCAGCTAAATCTCGCGACGCAGAGGCACTATACTTTTCCGAAGGTTCCACAAGGTGGCAATGCACCGCTCTGCAATCACGAATTGGTGGTGGTGGCACTAGTTTGCACCACTGAATTATGAATTACGGAGGGCAAGTTCCATGATGCAAGCCACCAATGTAACAGCTCACGAAAAAGGCGGCTCGGACTGCCAGCAGAGCCTAATTTCAGAATTGGTATGGGGCAAGGCACCAAAAACAAAATCAAAGCCAAATTTGAGGAATGGGGCAAGCCACCGAAACCAAATTCAGATGTTGCAAACTTCTCTGTCTATGAGTCTGTGTGACCATCTCTCCTCACGCATCGGCACTTCATTCCACTGAAGCGGCTGTAGTCGACAAAGTCATGCTTCATGCTCGGCATTGCCCATGGGTCAAAATGTTCGGGGGGCACCTTGCCGACCATTTTCAGCAAATTCAACGCAACCCTGCCGATCACACTGACAGTGAAAGCGTTGCCAAGCATGCCTGCATACTTCTTCTTGCTGACTCCGGCAGGGATCCGTAAATGTCCTCCTGGAAACCCCTGAAGTTCTTCAATTTCATTCAAAGTCATGTGCCGCTGCATGGGTAGCAACATGTGACCTCCAGACTTGCACCGACTGTGCGTCAACGTCGGTGACTTTTCAGGCAGGGCTGTCGCGCCGCGCTTCAAGCTGCACCCCACATCGGCGCACCACACAGCATCCTGTGACGCCTTCAATCCAAACATGTAAGTGGTTACTGTGGCTATTTTTACGCACTCAGTACCTACAAATGCAGAATCGCAATTCTTTCAATCAAGGAAACAACCAGAACAAATTATTAACGACGAGCAAAAAGATGACCAATTTCCGGTAGCCAAAGAAAGAAAAATGATTGAGCCAACACAGGCCTTCGTGGCAGAACACTTCAGAATGGAATCCTGGATCATTTTGGCGACTGACACCAGGTGCTGCTGGACCCTTGCTTTGCCTTTCTCCGTGGTCATGCCGTGGTGTAAGTCAGAGACATCTGTGCAGTCCAGCAAGCTGGACACGCTCCTGCAAGGGATGCGGGCTGGCCACTGCCATTTCATGGAAGGGTCCGCTTCTGCAATTTTCCAGCCAACAATGTAAGTGCGTAGCCGCGCTTGGGGCAAGCCACCTACAACGCTTGTGTCAAGAACCTCAGGAGGCATTGTCATTGTCGTAAAAATGATGAATCAACAGGACAACCAAGAAGCTTAAAAACACAAATCAACAATTAACCAAATAATTTGCAATGAACGAGAACCTTGCATTCCACTTGGTACACTTTCTCGCCATTTGCATCTTCGATGGAACGTAGGAAAGCCAAAATGAAATCAAAGAGGAGCTTGAACTTCTTGTGCCGCGCTAATGGTTTGACATTCTCCAAGGCAAATGTCAGGGGCTGAATGGTCTTAATCGTCTGCAGAACACGCAGCAGCACATGAGCACGTTTATCGTGCAAGCCATTCTGCAAACCAGCCATGCTGAATGGCTGGCAGGGTGGGCCTGCAGTGTAGAGGTCGATTTCCGCACTGATCTCGGAATCATCCCTTGCCATGATGTTGTTGAAATCCGAGGCTTGCTGCCAGCATGGGGCAAGCCACCAATGCCCTCGACTGCATAAGCTCCACCAGTAGCATAATTGCTCTCCAACACTTTTCTGGCGTGGGCATCTTTCTCAGACAAGAACACCGTGCAGGGCTCGAGGCCTGCCATTTTCAAAGCAGCAGTAGCAGTGTCCAGGCCTGAGCAATCTGAGCCAGTGACAATCATCGGAGCATTTCCCCTCGGATCGAACTGCCTTGCCTTCAACTCGCCCTTTCCTGGCCTGGTGGGTCGCCCGGTGGCCTTCTGGCCAGCCTTGTACTTGGCCACTGCTCTTCTTTTTTTTTTGTGGGTGTGGTTTTTGCAGTCTTTGCTTTTGGGCCCTTTGCTTGAAATGCTTTGGGTTTGAAACCCAAGAGGCGTGTGGCCATGTGGCGCCGCTTGAACTGCAGTCTCGGCACCAAGAGGGATGAACCTCTTTTCCTGTCGGCCCTGTGTTGTGCAAGCCCTTGCTCGTCCATGGCTTGGTCTCCAGACGTGAATGGTCCTGAGATCTCACTTCAAGCCAAATGCCTGCAGTGTTATCATGGAAAGTTGCGAATTAAACAAATAGTCTAGAATCAATTAACACTGCAAGGGAGCCCATGACAACACATGTCTGGCTGAGCCAACTTGTCTCAGTCGGTTTGTCTCTGTATCTGTCCATCACCGACAAACACTGATATATTCGATGGACAACCACCGATAGTCGATGGACCGATGATCTTGACGGACAGACAGACAGACAGACAGGCAGGCAGGCAGGCAGGCAGGCAGACAGGCAGACAGACAGACAGTGACAGACAGACAGACAGACAGACAGACAGACAGACAGGCAGGCAGGCAGGCAGGCAGGCAGACAGACAGTGACAGACAGTGACAGACAGTGACAGACAGTGACAGACAGTGACAGACAGTGACAGACAGTGACAGACAGTGACAGACAGTGACAGAGAGTGACAGACAGTGACAGACAGTGACAGACAGTGACAGACAGTGACAGACAGTAACAGACAGTAGCAGACAGTAACAGACAGACAGTAACAGACAGTAAGCGACAGTAAGCGACAGTAAGCGACAGTAACAGACAGTAACAGACAGTAACAGACAGTAACAGACAGTAACAGACAGTAACAGACAGTAACAGACAGAAACAGACAGTAACAGACAGAAACAGACAGAAACAGACATACAAAACACTGGCCGACACAGGTCTGGCAAACACAGGCAAGCTGGCAGACGCAAACAAACACTTGACTGAAGACGCAGACAAACAAC